ACTTATAAATATCATGACCCCAACTAGGATCCCCTTTTAGCGTACTTATAATGCAAAAAAAAAACGCAGATGACAGCCAAAGTAAGCTCTAGCCTTCGCTTCAACTTGGGTGCTTGTGGAAAGGAAAGGCTCCCAAGCTCATGGGACTTTAGTAAGTAAGGTTATAAGTAAGCGCAAAAGGCTACTTATGGCACTTATAACCTCGATTAAAACCCCACTTCCCAGGTCCCTTGAGCCCAATATCCTAAACCCTACTTCCTAAGACCTTGGAGCCTTGAAGCCGAGCACTTAGATCTTGCACAACGACGCGACGCCACGCATGCCCGGGCTGCCCGAATTCTGGGTGCCAGCGCTGAAGCCCGTTTGCAAGAGGTGCTGACTTGTCTGGCTCTTTAGGGTCCAGGGATTATTCTACTATACTAATATGATAATATACTACAACATGATGTAGTATACTATGCTGTTATATCTATCTATCTATCTATCTATCTATCTATCTATCTATCTCTATATTTATTTTTCTATATGCCATTTATATCTAGTTCGTTTAGGGTTCAGGGTTTAGCGTTTGGGGTCTCTGGTTCTTTGATGGCCCGGATCTAACAGTTGAAGTCTCTGGGTTTAAAGGTTGAAACTTGGGGTTACGGGTTTAAGGGTTTAAGGTTTAGGGCTTAAGGGTTTAAGGGTTTAAGGGTTTAAGGGTTTAAGGGTTTAAGGGTTTAAGGGTTTAAGGGTTTAAGGGTTTAGGGCTCAAGGGTTTAAGGGTTTAAGGGTTGAAGGGTGCAGGGTTTAAGGGTTTACGGGTTTAGGGGGTTCAGATGATGGAGGCTTCACAGATCATACAAAGGAGACCCAAACCCGACCTTCGGATCAACGTCTGCCTCCGAGCAGCCCTGGCAGCAGCATCACCGTAAACCCTAAACCCTAAACCCCTCAACCCTAAACCCGAAACCCTAAACCCTATCCTTAAAGCCTTAAACCTAATCCCAAAACTGCCGAGAGCGCCGCTGACCATTTGCATGGGCGCTCGAGGCTCTGACCGAGGCCCCCGGCCGAGCGTCTCGTCAGAACGTTGAGGGAGGGTAAAGCCTCGCGGTATACGAGGTGAAGGACCCCAAACCCCGCACCACTGCACTTTTCGGTTTGTGCTGAGGGGGTTTTGGCCTGGATGTTTGGGGGCAGAATTCAGGGACCGACCTGCCCAATGAGACCCGGGCCTCCTGGGCCGGTCCAAGGGGGCGACCTCTAAGGGTTTAAAGGGTACTGTAGCTGCTTGTGGCGGGTTTTTTCCCAGGCGACTTTTTCTGCCAGAACAGGTGATTCGAGCAACCATTACAGGGGCGAGGAGCGGGTTGTTTGTTGGAAACCCTTGCTTCTCGTCGACCGGCCGGCACAGGCCGCGAGGACCCACAACCCGACACCAATCTATCTCAGCTATGCTTTGCTGTGAAATGTGGTCCTTTATGTGTCGAACTGCGAGGGGAAGCAGAGCCCCCTTGAGGGGGTTTGGGGAGTGAACCCTGAGCCCTAATTTAGTTGAGAAAAATTGGGGTGATTGGGGCGGGACTATACAAGCTGACGCACGTGCGTGCGCACGATAAGTGGGTGGGCCCGTTTCCTAAAGTAGAAGGCGCACCCACCGCGCACACACGGTATACACACCCGAAACCGTGGTGCAGGAGGCTTCAACCCTGAATCCCCAGCCCTAAGTCCTGAGCCGCAAAGTAGACCCTAGCTGTTCAGAGCTTGGGTTCGTAGGTTTCAGCTCTATCGGTTTTGTTGGCGTAGGGTTGGCTGCAGTTTCAAAAGCTTGCAGGCATTTGGAGGGCTCGTGTAAAGCCTCACGGGACTTAGCAAGTAAGGTTATGTGTAAGGTTACCATCAGGAAAATTTACTTAGGACACTTAAAACCCCACTTGCAACTCTACTTACTACGTCACTTGAGCCCGTTACCCCAAACCCTGCTTCCAAAGTTCCTTGAGCACTTACCAAGAGTTACATTATGGCGGGCGGCGGATCTCCAAAAAAATCCACAAAAGCTCCCAGCTCCTGGCTTGCCATGAAAACCGTAAAGTAGAGCGTCAAACAAACTTTTCAAAATTTGAAGACCCTGAGCCCGAAATTCTCGATCAGATCCGAGATCCTAACCCAGAGCCCCAAAAACTTTAAATCAGACTTTCAGATCCATCAAAAAGCACCCCAGGAAGGAGGCAGCCAAAGCCATGGTCCGCAAAGGTTTCGCGGAGCCTCTCGACAGTTGTTTTTTTGCCATTCTTGGCGGGAATTCAGGGCTTCAGGTTTTAGGGATTTCAGCCTTTTTCTCGTTTTGTGAGAGCGAGGTTTCAGGTTTTAGGTCTTGTGGTTTTAAAAGATCAGGGATTTATGAGTCTACTGTACGAAGTTCATTTCTGGCAACACCATTGGCACTCATTGCATTTCTCTTGTCATTATGGCAAATGCATGATTCCTATTGTCAGTTTAGTATGGTTGCTACATCATAATAAAGAAATTTAAGCCTAATTTTTATCGTATTGTACTGTATTACATGTTTATTCTAGACTTGATATTATATTATATTATATTATATTATATTGTATTGTATTGTATTGTATTGTATTGTATTGTATTGTATTGTATTATATTATATTATATTATAGTATATGATATTATAGTATATGATATTATAGTATATTGTTTTATATTATATTATATTACACTATATTATATTATATTATATTATACTATATTATATTATATTATAGTATAGTATATTATATTATATTATATTATATTATATTATATTGTATTGTATTATA